TGTTTAGAGATTCAGGAGGTGAGGAGACATCAGCAAAGGAGGGACCACTAAGACAAGAGAAAAAGAAAGTTCTTAGAAGCTAAGCAATGAACAGGCTTCAAAGAAGAAAGGATGATCAACTCTATCAAATGCAGCTGATGAGTCAGGAAGGTGAGGCCTGAGCCCAGACAGCTGGACTGAGCAACACGGGAAGTACAATCCTGGCAAGAGCAGTTTCAGTGGCATAGTCAGGGAGAAAGCTGAATTGGAGCACATTTCAGAGAGTGAAAGGAGAAATGAGACAAAACTACAAATAAATCTTTCTAGGAATTTTGCAATAAAAGGCAGCAGAGAAATAGGTCAACAGCTGGAGAGAAGAAGGACTTCAAAGGCTGTTTTTTGAGTTTGTTTGGTTCGGTTGTTGTTTGATGGAAGAAATACCAGCACAATAGTATGTAATGGGGAGGACTCAGTAGAGAAAGCTGAAATAAGCACGGATGAAGATGGGATCTGGGGCTCACGAGAGCGCTGGCCTTTGAGGACAGCTGGCTTAGTTCCTCTGGTAACAGAAAAGGCAGGTCATAAGAGTACAAGGTTCTGGGAGGAGGATATCTGTGGGCGATCTCTTCTGATTGTTCCAGTTTTTTTAAGGGAAGTAGGAAGCAAGGGCATTAGCTGAGAGTGAGGGTGGGGGAAAAAGTATTGGGGGCTGAGGAGAAAGAAGATGAAGTAGTCACTGAGGAGGCAGGGGAACAAAGGCACTCAGGGTATGGCTGCTGACATACATAATCTAAGGGTTACTTGAGGTCCATGGTCATGAACTTAAACTATGGCAAGAGTCTTCTTTCCTCAAAACAGCTGCTGCTTATTCTCCTGTTACCTTTATCAATAATGTCATTCAATGAACTAAAATGTCAAAAGGAGAACAATACATATAAACAATACATATGAACAATACATATAAACAATACATATAAACAAATATACATATAAAATGTATAAAATACATATAGAACAAAACATATAATACATATAAACACATAAACATTATATATATATACACATATAAACAATACATATAAAATTCCCCAAAACAGAAGCTCTACTCGATGCTATAGGATAGGTGCTTTGGCAAAATCAATTTATCAGAAGAAGCTACATGATGACACTTATTTCACAAAAAAAGGAATCCTATAAGATAAGCTAAAGACAGGGGAAGGTAATACAATTATCATGTGCAAAAGTCCTATCCACTCAACAGTCAACTGGGAGCTGAGTCACTCTGGCCCATAATGCACCTGGATTACTAGCCTGACATGCTATGAGGTAAACCTCATCTCATCTCTTCGTGCTCCTTTCCCAGAGGAAGGACAAGGACAAGCGGATTGTAGTTTGGGCTGCCATGAAGCTTTAAGGAATGGTCTACCTTACTGCCTGGACTGGAAAACAGCAAGACAAGATTTTCATACCTTCCAAGCTGTCTATTTGTCTACCTGCAAATGTGGGATGCCCTCTTTCACAGGTAGCCAAAGTGTTACACTAGTTATCTACAAATTTACAAGCAATAATTATAATCTAAGCCCTGAAGATTATTACAATTAAAATAAATCCTCCTCCTAATCACTCCCAGAAATCATTAGAACTGTATTGATAATAATTGTTTTATATTTACATTTATGATAAACTTGTGAATGTACCAGAGCCCTCTTCAATCAATGACCATAAATCAAAATTCTCACAAAATGTTAGTTGTAAACTTCCCTTGTTTAAAATTAGTCTCATAGTAGAAAGCAAACATTTTACTATATATCTGTCACTATCTTGTACACAGTCTGCATTTTTAAAAAAAATTAAGTCAAACCCATTGTTCCACAAACAAGAGTCCTAAAGCAGTAAGAATATATAGAATAAAAATCTAGTCAAAATATCCTTGTAGTACCTTCTAGGCTTTAATGGAGGGAATTAAAGAAGGAAGGGAAGGGGAAAAAATGGAAGCTGATAGAACAAATTTTCCCTAAGCTCAAGAGAATAACAGTAATACAAAAACACATTTGAAAAGATACATAAATCTCACAATCTAAAACCTCAAAAAAAGAAAGAAAGAAACTCCTATACTAAAAATGAGACCATACATTATGCATTATGGGGTTAGAGTATTCATCTCGGAACAAGGAAAGGAAAGATATGCCAAGAATATACATCACTCATCATTATAACAGGATATAATTGGTATTTGACACTTGGAAAGCTGACTTCCCTAGATTTCTGTTTATGTCCACACTATTAGCATTACAAAAGTGAAAGAAGTCACTTGGCTATGAATGTTGCCATATCACAGCCCCGTTATTCAGGTCAATGGTGTGGAACAAAACAAAAGAAGGTTGTCAACCCCGAGCAGACACTGTCCTTTCCCAGCCCTTTAAAATAATGCTGTTGGGGTGCCTGGATGGCTCAGTCGTTAAGCGTCTGCCTTCGGCTCAGGTCATGATCCCAGGGTCCTGGGATCGAGCCCCGCATTGGGGTCCCTGCTCCGCGGGGAGCCTGCTTCTCCCTCTCCCTCTCCCCCTGCTTGTGTTCCCTCTCTCGCTGTGTCTCTCTCCGTCAAATAAATAAAATCTTTTTAAAAGATAAATAAATAAATAAATAAATAAATAAATAAATAAAATAAAATAAAATAAATAACACTACTGAGAACAGTAACATTTTTCAAGGACCTAATAAGCAATAACGTCTATAAGCTCTTGTCAGGTAATCTTTCTTTCACGATCTCACACTATCAGTCTGAATGCAGAGACGGGGGGAAAGGCTTCTCCCTTCCCGCACTTGCCACAGGCAGCTAGAACCTAGGATGACACTTGCCCGTTTCCAACAGGGAAAGCGGTCCAGCCACACAGGAACAGCAGCAGGGGGCATAAACGAAAGGGACCAGTGTGAAAAGAGATGCAGAACCACGTACATGATCTTGAAATTTATGCTGCGTGGCAGCCTTGTGTCTCATAGGAAAACAGGTACTTTCATTTTTGCCTCCTACTGCCACTCCGACCTTTCCTGGCTGGTGACTCAGTAGGAGGCAAAAATGAAAGTGCTTTTTTTCCCGCCTTTGAAACTAGGGCTGTTCCAAACTGTGGATTTCAAAATCATAACATGAACCACCTAGTTTTCCAAAGTACTTCTTCTACTGTCTTCACTAGAAACAGTAAACTATGAAACAACAATGTTTGCCTAGAGGTGTAAGATTGGCACTAAGATGTGTTTATATCTATCTGATTGTTAGAAGCTGCTTAGTATAATCTCGGTAATTTATGACCAGGACATAAAATATAGACAGATTTTAAAAAACAACCGTCTTGAAATTAAAATACTGGACACTGTATATTAACTAACTGGTATTAATTCAAAACTTAAAAAACTTAGGTAAAGGGCTAATTTAAACATCTTCATTTGAACGAGTCTCTGGTTGGCTTCAATTACCTATTCTTATTGAGGCCCTGCTCCATGTGAGGAAGTACAGTACCCAAGTAAGTAAGAGATAGTCCTCTTCCTCAAGGAGAGTTTAACCCAGAAGAGATAGGAAAATATCCACATAAAATAACACAAAGGTGTCAGAAATACCATAAGACATACAAAGAATGTGTATCATCAGGTTTCCAAGAAAAAATACTACGTTCAGAAAATCAGAAAAAGCTTCATGATAGAAATGGCATTTTAGGTGGTGCTTGAAAGTGGGACAGGATTTCAAAAATTGGAGAGAAAAATGAGGGTGCAAAGTGAACAAAAATCACAGAGGCAGAAAAGGTAGTTTATATGTAGGCAGTATTTTCTGAACTGTGTTTTAGATACCAATTCTGGAAGAAGTCAATAGATGCACTTAAAAAAAGGAGGGGAAGGGGGCCCCACAGTCAGATAAGGGTACACTGTTATTTTTTTTTTTTTAGGTCTTTGTATTTTTCTTTTTTTTTATTTTTTTATTTTTTATTGTTATGTTAATCACCATATATTACATCATTAGTTTTTGATGCAGTGTTCCATGATTCATTGTTTGTTCATAACACCCAGTGCTCCATGCAGAACGTGCCCTCCTCAATACCCATCACCAGGCTAACCCATCCCCCTACCCCCCTCCCCTCTAGAACCCTCAGTTTGTTTTTCAGAGTCCATCATCTCTCATGGTTCGTCTCCCCCTCTGACTGTTATTTTAAACACTATAACCTATGTTCTCCTCTTGGAAATTTAAAATGCACATTAGAATAAGAAAGGCTCTGAGCAAGGACAGTCATAAAGTAACTGTTAGCCCAAGTCCCCCCAACCTATAGAACTCATTTGAAAGAACACCCATCAGTTCAATTTCAGAATTACTATCTAAGCAAAACTGAGATAAGGTAAGCAGAGTAAATTTGAGACATATTACAGAATGCCTCATACACAAAACTGAGAAATGTGGTCTTTATGAATGACAACAAAATGAGGTTTTGACCCTACATGGGGGTGTTTGTTATTCAAACATATCATTACATACTGAGCTTAATGGGAAGCTCTGTATGAAACATTTTTTTTTTTACTTCATTTTATTTTACAAAAAAACAAGCAACCACCTAACAGGAGAAACATACTACTAGTCAGAGAACATGAGAAAAGCAGCAATAATGGAAGGCAGTTGTGGATAAGGCAGGATCAGCCAGCCAAAGCAAAGACAGGTACCAAATAGACAGGCACCCCCACAAGCTGGACACAGCCTTACGTGCGTTCTTTTTTCCCTAAGTCTAATATTAACTCTCAAAGCCTACAGGCCATTCAATTACAGTCAAAATCTAAAGCTGCCTTTTTTTTAAATATTTGTACCTGAGAACTAAGTTTTCTAAAACACAATTTAAAAATATACACAATTCTGACTACAACTTGAAAATTCATAATTAGCATTTTTTGGCCTTTATTTCTTAAAGGAACTTTTACACACACACACACACACACACACACACACACACACACACGGACTCACGCCAGCCTTCATTAGAAGAAATTACCTGTGGTTGGAACTGGGGAACAGGTGGCCCTTGCATTCCTTGTGATTGCTCATCCATTGTCTGAAGCAACAGGAACTTTAGAACTCTGCAAAAATATAAAGTTTAAATTTAAATAATGTAATCATTACCAAGTCATGTTGCTCATCATATGCCTGAGGCTTGCATTCAAATATCAGATTTACCTAGTGGTTCAAAAAGCACGCATTAAGATATCCCATACTCTTCTGTCATTTGCTAAATCCAAGCTCTGTTTAGCTAAAACAAAAGGTATTCACTGTCTCAACTAAGTCCATTTCTCCAAAGTAGTATTAGGTGCTTAGAAAATCCTATTTTATGAGATGAAATTCTCTCTTCTCCATTATACCTTATAGACGAAACAGGCTTCCCCTTCCCCATGCCAATGTGCAAAGATAATTACCATAAGCTTCCCATAAATGTGGCAAATGTTCTATAACTCTAAAATGCACATCTTCATATTCTAAAAATGTTAGTACTTTTGTTATGTATGTCCAACTATAATTCTTACTGTAGTTTTTAGGTTTAAACTTAAAAGGCCAGTCCTCCTATGAGGGTGTTTACATTTTTATGCATACTTTGCTTATAATTAAAAACATTCAGCCATCAACTCAATTAACATAAGCTGAAGACTAATTCTATGTCACCTACTGCACAGTGAACCTCAAACAAGACACAGCTATTGCCCCACCGAACAACACTTTTTCTACACGTCAATTACTTCTCAGTTCCTCACAAGTGTTAATTTTTAACTAAAATATAATGTGTGGGTTGAAAAACTAGGATCCTTTTAAATGGGATTAACAGAGAAACTAAAACACATCTTCACTTCATTATACTTTTAGAAAACAGTTAAAAAATGACATGGGTATTTGTATTGTAAATATTCCCTTCCATTCTGTAACTTGTCTTTTTAAAAGCCTTTCTAATGGCATCTTTCAATTAACTAATGAACAGAATTCATAAATTTAATAAGGTCTAATCAATCATTCCTTTACAATATCTTTGTGTACTATTTAAGAATTATTTCTGTACTCCAATTTCTCATACATTATCTTATAACATAAGCTTTGTTGTTTTACCTTTCAAGTTTAGATCCATAATTGACCTGGAATTAAATTTTTGTATGACAAGGTAAAGTCAACATTTAGGTTTTTTTCTATATGGATATCCAACTGACTTCAAATCATATATTGAAATGATCAGGCTTTACCCCACTCCCCATAATACTACTATGTCATCCTTGCCATATATCAAATGACAACATGTACATAAACACACACATACCCCCCCCACACACTGCAAACTTGCTGAACTCACTTATCAGTTCAAGTAGATTTTGGGGGATTCTTGCCTTATTTTAATGACTAGAACTTCCAGTACAATGAACCTAAGTAGAGAGTAGACATCCTTTTATTGTTCCTATCAGGAAGAAAGTGTTGGGAAGGAAAAATTTCCCTTCACTGTTTAAGATTCTTCTAGCTGCTATAAGAATTAAATTGACATGACAATAACAGGAGAAAAGTTTGATAACATATATCAAAAGTAACAGGAGAAAAGTTTGATAACATATATACCTTCTATATATAAATATATACATATATAAAAGCAACTCAGGAAAACTGAGCAACTCCCCAAAACGGTCAAAGCTATCAACATAAATACCATCTTCAGCCAAAGACAAAAGACGTTGGGAGTCAGTTATGGGAGGTTACCAGGAAAAGCACAGTAAACAAGAGTAAGGTTATTATTCAGATTAACTCATTGCCATCTCTATTAGTAATAGTTTCTAGAAATTGAGTCAAACCCTCTTCCTGGTACAGCAAGGGAGGCACCTTACAAACGGAGATTTTTTTCTTACAAATACAACTGTCTCATACAAAAGGGTAACCTATTCTCAGGTTCCAGAGCTTCTCCTGTGTTTGCAGCATCTTAAAAATAACTGGCTTAAAATAATCAATATGCCAGGGCGCCTGGGTGGCTCAGTCGCTAAGCATCTGCCTTCATGAAGCTCAGGTCATGATCCTAGGGTTCTGGAATTGAGCCCCGCATCAGGCTCCCTGCTCTGCAGGAAGCCTGCTTCTCCCTCTCACACTCCCCCTACTTGTGTTTCTCTCTCTGTCAATAAATAAATAAAATCTTAAAAAAAAAATTAATCAACATGCCAAAGAGGCATATCTTAGAAAAATATGCTCCCTTACAAAAGCATTCTTCACATGAATGAAAGATGTATATTTTTTAAAGATGTCTTAATTTATCAGGTTGAGATAGTGCCCTTCTTACTTTGCTAAGAGATTTTATAAAGAATAGATGTTAAATTTTAACTCAAATGTTTTTTCTACATCTGAGAGAATTATATAGTTTTTTTGTTTGTTAAAATGTTCAAGTATGGTGATTCATTTTTGAATGTTAAGCCGGTATTCATTTCTGGGATGAACCTCATTTGGTCATAACATGTAACTGTATCTTCTATTTTTGGATTGGATTTTATATAGTGTTAGATCCAAGGAGAGGAGGATACGGAAGGAGAAAGAGAACTCTAGTAATGAATTAGAATATCTTTTACTGTGAAATCCAAATAATTAAAATCAGCATTTCACATCTAGTGTTGCACAGTTTCACAAAACATTCCATGAAAAAAAGGGTTTCCAGGTCAAAGACCTCTGTGAAATATTACTCGCTATATAAATCACTCTTAGAGCATCATAATAAATACCAGCATACTAAAGGATCCAAGCAGGCCTGCAGCTGATAAAAAACAAATTCATTTAAAGCCTCACTTATATTTAACTTATTTAACCATAAAATGCTTTCTTTATGTAACATTTTCTAATATCCCACAACTTGACTAATACTAAGAACATATGAGAAGTTTGTGCTAGATTATAATAAAGTGGGTTTATCATACCTATTGACAAATGACAATGTCTGAGTCAATAAAATTATGAAGGAAGGAAGCCAAAGTAAAACAAAACAAAAAAAAACACAAAAAAAACTAAAAAACTCAAAGAAACCAGATGAGTAATTTAACCTAACACTCTGAATAACAGGGAACTCACTTCTGCAGTATCCCTGACAAACGTCAAAAAGCCTCTGCTTGGAAAATTAACATCTGTATGAAATTCTCATATTTCATGTAAGCTTAGTAAGTACGATGAACAAAAAGTGAAATTTTCTTTGCATAATATCTAACATGGTTCCATGTGTCACTAGATTCTTCATGCTATTACAAAATAAGAATATGTCAAGGGTTATATATTGATTTCATACCACTATCATATTTTCAAAAGACCAGTAATATTCATATTTTACCTTTCTACTAACCTCCTCCTAAACAAAATAAAAACACACTTTAATATACAAAATGTTAAATATGTATTCAATCTTCTAGATTATAAGTTCCATGTTGCAGGGACCTATATGTGTCATCCACAGCTGTATCCCCAGTGCTTAGGTCAATACTTGGCACAACATAGGTGCTGAACCAATATCTACTTAATTAATTAATGCATGTATGTCTGTCATAAAAACATCAAATAATTATTGTTACAGTTTATTAAGTCTAAAGTCAATGTTAAGAAAAATCATGATCAAATTCAACTATCTGGCAACCTTCAATCAAAAAAGGTTCCCAAAGAAGGTGCTGCCTAAATTGGGTTTTAAATAATGAAGAGGGAAGGTTAACAAGGTTTAGATGAGCCAAGCAAGAGAGGAATTCTGGGAAAAGGAAAAAACACGTCAAAATACTCAAAAGCAGAGCACAACACCTTATAAAGAGCTTCAATTAAAGTTGGCAGGTAGTAGGAGATAGGGGATGGAGAGCAGGTTACCTTAACAACACAGAGAGGTGTCAGTTCATGAAAAAAATTATGGTATTTACTTTATTCAGTTGGTACCAGAGAGTTAATGTTGGGTTTCAAGCAGTTAAGAGAGAGGATTTCACTATTTATGAAAGACAGTCTTTCTTGCCACGTGACAGAGTAGAGGAATTCACAACCATAAGCAAGATCAGTTAAGAAGCTATGGCAACAGTCAAGAGATGATAAAACCCTTCACTAAGGTCCTCTTTTTTTTTTTTTTAAGATTTTATTTATTTATTTGAGAGAGAGAGAATGAGCGGTGAGGAGGAGCAGAGGGGGAGAGAGAGAGAGAGAAGCAGACTCCCTACTGAGCAGGAAGCCTGACATGGGGCTTGATCCTAGGACCCAGAGATCATGACCTGAGCCAAAGGCAGACACTTGATGGGACTGAGTCACCCAGGTGCACCCCATGGTCCTCTTGACCTAACCCAGCTTTCACACAACTATCTCACTTTCCCAAAATGTTCTACGATCTCTTATTCTTCTCGCTTTTCTCCTACACTGTAGCTATTCTAAGTTCCCTTTTCCATCTAACATTTATATTTGAGTGCTCTAAGACAAAGCTTTTTTGGGGGGTGCCTGGGTGGCTCAGTTAGTTGAGCATCCGACTCTTGGTTTAGGCTCAGGTCATGATCTCATGGGACAGGGGACTAAGCCCCACCTCACACTCTGTGCTCAGTGCAGAGTCTACTTAAAGATTCTCACCCTCTGCCCCTCCCCCAACTCGTGTGCATGCACTCTCTCTCCACACCCCTCTAAAATAAATAATCTTTTTTAAAAAAATATTTTTTTTAAACCTACTATCTCTGCTGAAGTCATACCATCCAGTCCCATGACTTTGAAAATACCATCTCCATATGATTACTCTGAAATCTGTATCTCTACCACAGGTGTATGGTCTGAGCTCTGAGCTATCAACACCAATATCCAACTGTCCATCTGATATCTCCACCTTGATCGAGGATTCCAACTCCCATCCTTCCAAAAAAATAAAATAAAATAATGCTTTTCCTCTTATATTCTTTATCTCTTTAAATATATCACCATCTCCTCAGCTGGTCCGGCCCCAAAATTCTCAAGCTTCTGGGTCTCTGGACCTCTTTATCTGAGGACCCCAAAGACTTTTTGTTCATGGGAGTCATGCTTTATCAGTATTTCACATAACTGAAATTAAAACTAAAAAAAGCATTAAAATACATACTAATTCATT